CTCCCCTTCCTCTCCCACGCCCCTCCTACTTCCGCAGCCTGAACAACACTTCGAGTCCCCCGCACCCCGACAACTTACATGCCCCCGCCCACAAATGACACAGCAAAACCACCAAACCTCGCCGAGCTGAGACTAATTTTCGCAACTGTCAACATTGATCACAAAACTTTCCGGATTCGCCAACTCATCATGCTCAAGTGTAGTAATGCAACCAATTGGCATGGTGCCAACACCTGTACGGTGACATGGCTGTTCATGCTAGCAGTGTGTGCTTCTTTGGGGTACTGTCTGTTGTTTCTGGAGTTTTTCAATGCTTTTTCTCCACTTAATGCTAGAGGTTTTCTGTATTATATAAAATAAGAGTTTTATGGGTGGACGGGAATGGGTCGGGCGGGGGGGTTTCTTTAGGGCCGAATTTGTGAAATTCCTGGAATCACGCGAGGCTTTGAGTTCCGAGGCAGATAGTGCCGAACAGGTGCCGGCCTCAAGCCAATTTGCACAGTTTTAAATTTTGTTGCGACGGATCATGAAAATTCCAGCACTGTCTGTTGGGCGTTTGCGTGTTGCATTATGCAGAATATGACCAGACGGGGTGCAGTGACGGTGTGAAGTTTGCTTTCAGGAGAGATTACGATACTCATGAACATTGCACTTCTCTGTAGACGCTGTGCTCTCGCCAGTAAGCCGTCATCCTCGGCCGGCCGATCCAGGTACCACATTTTGCTTCAGCTACTTTGTTTTGTAGCCGATAAAACTCATCTCTCCTCCCTGCGTCAAGCCTGAACACTCTCTGCGCACTGCGCACGGCCGGGAGAATTTACGCACAGCGCCGTTGGTGGTAGAAAGGTTAGAGTTTTTGTCGGGGCCACTGTCCCCGTGGTACTTTCGGAGCCCGGACATGTGGTACGGGGGATCACTTCTACTGTCATGCCTATTTTTGCAGGTTTTTATGCACCGTTTTCTGCTCGAAATTTCGAACAGGTGCCTCGCAGTGGAGCAGTTTTCGAAACATCAGAAAGAGCGCTTACCTACTGATTGCCCGAAACGTAAGAGCGGCTTCTGCTTTCATTCTCCCTTCTTGAAGATTTTCGTGGTTTTAGACGAAATAACACAGTTTTTTATCGCTTTACAAACTGGCCCACTTCTTGCGGTACCTCTAATTGCAGTAAATTCACTGTCTAACAGCTCCTGAATCTGAATATCCTTGAACGAAAATCTCACGCAAACATTCAGTGCATTTCACTAGCAAATATGAGCTCAAGGGTATCCCACGGGTACAGCGAGGCGTCCACTCCTGTTGCAGAAAGACGAGCGTAGCAGAGATTAGCATGTATGCGAGAGCAAAGGCGATGTGTGGGCCTGAACGAGCCGACCGGGAAAATTAGGAGGTAAATTGGCCAAACTAGGGAGTTATTGAAGTGGAATTCAAAAAAGAATCTTTTTTTTCCGGCAAACCAAACTTGTTGCACGCA